ACTTTGCCTGCCCATCACCCCCACCCCAAGTCCCTTAAATAAATCCCTGGTTACTGTTCATTCAATGTCCAGCACACTTTGACCACTCTAAGACACTAACCTGATACCTAAATTGTAGAAATCACAGAGCAGTCCAAGAAGAGACCTCTGCAGATCGTTCCATCTAAACTCCAGCTGAAAGCAAGGCCTTAAGTGAGACTATCCAGGGCTCTGTCAAGGCATGTCTCAAATACCTCCAGCAAGGGAGATTCCACCGCTTCTCTGGACAAGCTTCTCCCAAGGTTTTATTTTTCTCATGGTGAAGAATTTTATCCCTATTGCCAGACAGAAATTCCCCTACAGGAACTTGTTCCCATTGCCTCTTGTCCTATCACCATACATCCTTGTGATTAAATATATACCACGTTCCAAGTTAAAAGGGATTACCCAAAGTTTGAAAGAAACAGAAGAAAAGGAGCATATGGTAGATCCTGCCTATAGAGAAGATCCACACCTAGAAATTGAGACCTGCAGAGCTAAGTTTATAGCTGAGTCAGCAAGATCTGTTTTCAAAAACCCTTTCATGAGACTTGTATCAAGGAAATTTGCAAGAACACTTACTAAAGCAGTTATTTATTTTATCTGAGTGTGTGAAACTGTTTGCATACTTTTTTCCCCCTAATACTACCTATTAAAGGAAAAGATGACATTATTAGCACTATCTTCTTTATAAATCAGAATAACAAACATTTCCTTTGATCTGATGTGGAAACGGTCAAAGTCTGGTAGTACTTTTTTTCCCACTGACATTTTACCTAATATTCAATCCAAAGGAAAAGTGACATTTTTCCCATAGACTGCTACTGCCCTCTGTAGGATTGTTTTAAATAAAATATTAGGAACAAAGTAGAAAAAAAAAGGTTAAAAGAAAGCACATAAGCATGTCACATTACTGCATCACTTTGTAAACAAACTGGAGATGGCATATGAAGTTTATGTTCCCTGTAGCTTCATAAATTCAGGGCTTTTATAGACTGTGGACCCAAACTGGGAAGTAATAAGCAGAATATTCCCAATGTTACCAGACTCTTGAGACTGCAAAATGAAAACAAGAGTGCCTGGAGATCAGTGAAGACCATGGATATATGAGGGTGTGTATCAGAGCTAGTAAAAAATATCCACCACTTTTCAGAACTGCAGACTGCTTTCAAAGCACGTCCCAAAAGACTCTCCATTGTGTGTAGCTGAGCAAAACATCAAGATAAATTAATGAGAAAATTTACTGTATCAAAGCCTTTACTGAAGTTGTATGCTTCAATATTTAAGTTTTGTTCTTGATACTACCTAGTCAACAGCTCTGCTCCTTCTTGCCATGGACAAAAGATTATATTTTGGTATTCTAAATTGCACATGCCAATAAAAACTTTGGCTTTTTTAAATTTGGTGATCATATTATACAATTAAAAGGACATGGTAATGTGGAGCCTCAAAATAACTAATAATTCATAATTTACATACAGGCATAGAAATACAGAGATCATTTTCCTCTTTACACTCAAAAGTCTGGTAACTTAGACGAGTTCAGCAGTGACCTTGGGAGGTGGCTGATGCTCTTCATGCCACAGGATGCTTGTGGTGTTAAAGGATGCCAAAGGACAAGAAAATAAACCAAATGTATACATATATATGCATGGACTAAACTCTGACAATTCAGAAGCAAATTAAAAGCGTCCAATTGTATGAAAGAACCATGATGACATGAAAAATCACAAGCCTGAATGGCTCATTATTTCCCCACAATCCAAAAAAGCAATTAGATTTTAATTGCTTTTTTCTTAAGAAAAAAATGCCAGTGACAGCAATTACACACATTAAATACTCTGCCTAGAATGTTGCTCCAATTATAAATGGCTAATTACTGCAACAGTAAGTAAAAAAATGTACCATAGTGTGTTACTACTTTATGATGTGAGGAATGAGGGCACTGAAATTCCTGTAAGTTTGAAGGGAATTTTGTATATAAGCTTCAGGGAAACTCCAAAAAGGAATTTAAACCCTCATGCTCTAATCTCAAAGAAGGCGTCCGTAAGACTGAACTAGGTGTCCAAACCATCCCTGCTAGAGAAGATGTCTCTTCTCCACACCATGGAACTGGCATTGGACAGCACGTGGAGACCAAGGAAGCAAAATAAGACACTGAAGACACAAGGTGAGCTGTGGGGAGGTGACATCTGCATCCCTACATGTGCTCCTTTACTTCGAGTACATACACATCTCACAGCAGACCTGCACACATCCAAGAATCTCTTCTCTTTATGCACCAGCATAATCATTTGCCATGTTACATAAAGCCCTAAAATTTCCAGAAAACCAGTGGTCTCCTCATGAATTGATGAACAGAATCTTTAAAAAAAAAATCTAGGTTATTTATTTTCCAGTAGCTAGCTATTCCTCCATGCTCTATTTACTGTCCTTTTAATTTCTGATATATTCCGTTTCAATTAATGCACTTTCATTGCCACAAGACACAGGCAATTGACTGACAACTCACATTTGGAGGGAAAGGCTACAGATTAATAAAAGCTGAAAATTACAGCCTGCTTTGTAAGAAATGATTCAAACTCAATGCACTGAATACCTTCTGATACCAATATACTGATACCTTCTACCACCAAGTGACCACTCGTGCCAAGACTGCCAAAACAGGCAGTTTTCTTTCTCCCATTCCCTTCTCCCAAACCATACAAAGGAGCTATTACTGGGTGAAGAGATGAAAACTTACCAGGACTGGCGTCCAATATGGTCATGTACGTCTCATTTCCTTCAGCAAAACACAGGATATGGGTCAGAAAACTTGAATTGTCTTAGCACTTTGACAATAAACTTTGTCTGGCAGTGTTACAATTAACTTAAAATAAGCCAAAAATTTGTCAGTCCAACTGCTTTTGTTTCTCATGGAGGCAGACCAACTTTGTGTCATGATTATATTTTCAAGTGAAGTTCAACTTACATAAGCCTTCTTTTTATTTTTTTTTTTTTCCCAAGACCATAATTGATGACTGGAAATTTTGACCAGAGCAAAACTCTGAGTATTTAATACAACTTATGCAGGCTGTCAAGCTAAAACCCACCCTTGTTTCTTTCAGTCAGTCGTAATACTCATAGGAAGCAGCAGATCTTGCCATGCTTCTTCAGCAATCAGTTTATCCTTCTGAAGAGATGGATTACAATGAGGAATAAGGGCTCAAAGAACTGCCTGCCTAAAAGCAGTTGATATTTAAGTTACTTGGCTGACAAATTATTGTTATTTCTCTGTATGTGTGAGGACTTCTTTTCCATCTTTCTTCTCTTTTTAATTTTAGCCCTGAAACCAGTACTTTATTTTCCGTATTTAGTAATCTTGCTGAACTGAAGAAAAGCCAAGTTCCAGTTCTCTCTAGAATGTAGCCTAACAGCACTCATCTAGTCAGCCAACACATGCTTCAGGACAAGACACATCCATCCTACACTGGATCTCCCCAGGCCTGTAGTTATGGGACATGATCAAGAGGAGAGTATTGACATGGAGATAGAGAGAGACCAGGGAGGTATCACACAGGAAAACAAAGTTTCAGCAGTTCTGCTGCTCATGCCAAAATCTGTCAGTTTTTTCTTCCAACTGAAAGCCCGGTCTAATTCAGATTTGGAGATGACTGATACATGCTGATGTTACAGGTAAATCATTCCTGTTTACAGAATGTACCTACTAAAATAGTAACCATGGATTTACCAAGGTAGGATGTTGCTAATTCAGTAGCATATTATTCTAATACACTGACTATAATGATACTATTCAGCTGTGAATTTAAGTTTCTCCTTATACAAGATCTGATGAGGGTGATTTGGAATGTCCCTGGAGGATGCTGAGGATCCTCCAATGCCATCAGCACAAGATGAGGTTTTGGGCTGCAATGCCTGGATGGGGCAACATTCCAAAACCTCATGACATACAGTCACAGGGCAACAGTTCCTAAAGAAGGGAAACCAGAATTTCCTGAAAAGAAACAACATGAGAACCACAGGCAAGTTGAACCTGGCCACTGCTTTTCCCTCTAGCAAAATCTTTATTACTATTAACAGAAGTTATGCCCAGACAACGAGGACACTTGAGCCTAAAAGTTGCAACTGCCAAGTCCCTGCAAGGAGATCCTACTGAAATCCAAGACTGATCTATCCTGGTAAGCTCAATGACTTTGCTACAGGTACTGAATTAGCTGCCAGCCTATGCCAACAATTTGACCACGTCACACTAGAGCCATTTGCTCAGTTCTCACCAGCCGCAACCCCCAAAACTCCACGGGTAAATGTTGCATTACAGAGCTCAGAGTTACAAAGTCAAGCTAATGAACTCTGTCAGATGACCAGCCTAATGGACCAAGTCAGTACTTGTCATTCACAAAAGTACAGAGCTTCAGACAACAAGGTCCTTAGTGCTTCTGATGCACTGCCACAGAAACAGCTTCACTAAAACATTTATAAAACCCTAACGTGTTCCTGCCTCCAAACCCTACACTATGAGTCTTGAAATGAGATTAAAATCATGTAATTTTGTAACTTACAGGACAATGAAAGCAAATGGTACAATTTATCATATTAAAAAAAAAAAAAATCAAAGAAATCTTGAGCAGTCATTTCCCATTCCTATCAAACTGCTCATAAAAATGCCTTATTTTTATTAATTCAGTCTTCCTTAGCTGTTTTTTGAAGCAAAATGAAACATGTTTCACCAGAACCACTTTTTCTTGAAGCTGCTTTTTGCATGGACCTTCAGGCCATCAGGTCACACCTTCAGTTCTCTGAAAGGAGGCCTAGATCTTTTTGGAGAAAAGTTAGCTGGGTTTTGGATTGCAGATGGCACCTTTACAACATACAGGTTTGAGACAGCCTTAAAATTTCTGGAGTTTAATGAAAAATTCAATTTCCCCCGAACGAAGCCACTAGAGTAAGAAAAATCTGAGGGTGCCACAACCTGAAGTGCTTACCTTTGTCGTTGCAAGTTGCTGCTGTTGGAGGGGGAAGCCCAGGCTTAGATTTGTCATAATTGTTAAAGCTCTGGCTGCGACGATTGTTGGCACTGATAGAACCACGAGCCTTGGCCTCACTGCCCGCAGTGGACACCCTCGTGGTGGGGCCTGGGAGTCTGATGAAAGAATTACAATGCCATCACATATATTTTAATAACAATCTGGGAAAGAAATTATGGAATACCATACATAGGCTGAAAAGAAAAGGATCCATACCACACATATATTAGGGTCTTTGTTCTTTTTTGAGAATAAAATCTAAGCCTAGATGAAAAAAGTATGTCAAACAAGCTACAGTCTGAATTGTTTCACATCAGAAAAAAAAAAAAACAAAACCTGAGCTTAAATTTATGACCATAAATCTTGTCAATCAGAAGTAGTTGCAAGTAAACTCAGGGAAGCAACACCACTGGAACAAGGTTAATAGTGAGACACTGCTGTTCCTGAACCAGACTGCTGGGCACTTCATTATATGCTGGACACAAGTGCTACCCTTATTTTGGAAATGACAGTGAGACAGAACAGGGTGCCTTTTCCCCTGTGAAGAAGCACATCTGATATCTGCTCTGAGAGCTAAAGCCCAGCAGCCAAGCCCAGCAAAACTTAAACTTGGTTTCATTATATCCAGCCTATAAAAATCACACTGAGCTCACGTGCCCCTGCTCAGGGCAAACAACTACATGATCAGTGAGCTCCTATAAGCCTCTGGGTTGAACTGGATCAATCTCTTCCAGCATTTCCTTACCTGTATTTACAAGATTTAGCTGTTTACATAGAGAAAAATGTAGTTAGGATTTTGGAGTAAGACGACAGGGAGAGATACAACTTCCATGCTTTTCAGGCACAAGGGGAGGAGAAGACTTTTCTAAAAAGCCTGACACATCAGGAAAGCCACCGGCTTTGCATCTCAGAATAATGTGCTTCCAAGTCAAAATTCATGCATGAAGTGCTCATGTTTGTACTGTATTAGTGACCTAGTGAGAACCTATTTCTATATCGCAAACAGATGGAATAATAAAAAATAAAAGATTTGGTAGCTGCTCAAAATGGATACTGAAAAGAGTTAGTGAAACAACTCACTGTTTTGAAAAGCACGGACATTCTATCAGGGACTAAAAACCAGAACCAGTTCATGTCACCTACAGTAGCCCTTGAAGGGATCACTCTTTGTTGTCTTACTGTTTTCTGTATGGTAGAACCTCTTTAAAACTTCTTTACACAAGCCACAAAAATTTGCCTTAAATAACTTGAACCAATAATAGGCTAAAATGAAGAAGTCCCAGTTGTTAGAGAGAATGGGGATGCAACAAGCCAAATCACTGTTGTGCCTCTAGGAAGGAAGAGAAGCCAGGAAGGAGTCTGGCAGGGCTTCCCAAATAAACTGACTTCTCCAAGACTACTGAAGAAATAACATGAAAAGAAACATGATGGAAAAGAGCAAAAATGTCAGCAGCTGCATGCACATGCTTTCAAAGCCCAGATGGGGATAAGACATAGGGCACCACTCAAATACAACCCCAAAATCCCATTTACAAACTCAAACCACCACAGATCTGATACAGCACATCATGGTTCTGAGGTTGACTTTGCTGAGGCCTTTTAGACAAGTCATTCAATTTATTCAGCTTTTTTCAACGCTGGGGGGAGCTAGAAAGTTGTACATACTCATCACTGCAGCAAGGTGTAAATGAGGACACCCCAGAGATGCCTCATCTGCTGGAGAGGAGACTACGTGAGGAGCAGCAGAGGCAAACCAGGGATAAACGCTGGTCTTCGAACTTGGAAGGCACCAGGACAAGAAAGTTCATTAGGAGTTTGTTTTGCTTAATAGGAAATGAGCTAGAGGTTTCCTACAGGTAGGCAGGATGCACGAGCTACCCCATATGAAAGTGTCCACCCAGTGATAAAACACTGTGAGGAGGGCCAGCCACTGCAGGAAGGCTACTAGACCCCCTGTAGTACTGGGAGGGGGGGTTTCTAGCAGGTCTGGCAGGAGGGAAGGGATAATGTCCTTGTACTGATAAGTAAGAAAAGGCTCCCCACACATGCCCACACAGGTTTTGCAGATCTGTCACATTTTCAAGTAAATAAAGCCCCTCAAGCCATGTGACCACTCAGTAAGTGACAAGTTTTCGATTGAAGTCAGTATTGTCACTGCCAATGAAAACATACTGAGAAAAAAAAAAAGTGCTAAAAACACTCTTGAAGAAGATATAATTTCTCTTGGACTTTTTTCCTCTCCGTGTAGTTTAACTGACTGGTTTTAAGCCCCTGCTTTTGGTATTAGGCCAGAATATTTCAACAGCAGTGCCTGTAAAATCTAGAGAAAAAACTCAGTGGGTTCAGGGAGACATTTGTAGCTTCTTGCTATTAGAGACAAGGTACTGAGCTCAGAGAAAACCCTCCATCACTGCACTTCAGCATGTCTTCTAGGCAAATATGAACTGTCAAGCCATAATTATGATCAAGAGAGAACATGAAAAGAAAACACAGAACATTTTAACAGGGGTTATAACTGCAGACCTTCACTGTTGTCATAAAAGAAGCGAGATGGGGAAATAAACCCAAATTATAGAGCAGAGCTAACAACCTATACAAACATGCCAAGCTAGACAAAAATTCGGAGTAATAGTTGACAAGCTTAGCAAAAATGGTATAGTTTACCAAAATATAACTATATAAAAAGTCCTAGTAAAACATTTTAATATATAATACTGGTAAAAGTAAACATGATTAATAACCACATTAATAACACAGCAACCCTTATGATCACTGAGATGAGATGGCTGTATGAGCTGGCATGCAAGTCATGCTGGGATTCAGGGAAAAAAGTAGACTGAAATACCTATTAATCATTTTTAGGGAAATTAGATGTGCTCAGCTTCAGGGCACTGGGGACTGCAGGAGCTCTGATGAGACAAACCCACATGGTTCAGACAATGCTCCACTTAGTAAGACACTAGCCTGATGCTTGTCAGATCAATAACATAGCTCTAAATACAACTAACACAGATCTGCACAGTGGGGAGAGAACTCCCAGAACCATGTCTTGTTCTCAAAAGCAAAAAGCTCGTAAGGACAAGAAAACCAAATTATTTCCTTGCAGGCTAGAATGCATTCCACACCTTGAAAGCAAATAAAAAAAAAAGGATAAAATTAAAATCCATCCAACACTTCCAAGGTTGCAACTGTTTGTAAAATGCCTAGTTAAACTCTTTTCACCAGGAACCCTAAACATGCATCCAGAAACGTTGCAAAGGGATTACTCATGCTTTGCAGGACATGAAGAAGTGCTAACCTAGAAGACTTTTTCTGACTGAGAGCGAATCGGATGATTTTGCTTTGAGATGAGTCCCTGGGAGATGCACTGTGACAGGAAACAAAAAGTGGAAGATAACAGTGAACAATGAAACTTTTTTATTAAGCCACTGAATTTAGTATTTAGTTTCAGGGAGGAAAGAGTTTTTATGAGTTTCACAGGGGGGAAAAAAAAAACAAAACACTTCTTGACTAAGATTTCAAATCAAAACTTCTAAAATCTGAAATGAATTAATTTTTATAGAGGAATGAACATGTAATTCCACATGCAAACCCCAATGTTACTACTCCTTTCCTTCTCAATCTTTTATTATCTGTATTTTCTGAAAAAACAATTTAACTGTAGTATAGACTAATAAAACATGACATATAATACCTTCAGGTATTTTTAAATTATTTGAAACCCAGCACAAATCCACACAGTGGACTAAAAATATTGAACTGTTTATATGCCTCCTAAAGCAGCACTGGGGCCAGTGTTCACCATAATGTGTTATCTTAACACTAATCAACCTTAATTATAGACATTCAAGGGACAAAGACCCCCTCTATTTATCTGTATTCTGATCTAGGAGCATCAACAAACACAATTGTGAAAATCACATTTTTCACCTAAGCCAGCTGCACCTAAGCTTGACCCATAAGCTTAGATTTGATTTTGGCTGTCACCAGCCATGAGGAGCTCTATTTCTTTTATCACTATTAGAGCCATCCACTTCCTGAGGACTGAAATTCTTGTAAATGGGAAACCAAAGCTGGTTTTAACATGCCCAAAGTACAGATTCTGTAGTGGCAACAATGTGCTTTGCAAGAAGAAGGAAGCAAAAGGAATTCCGAGAAAAATGTCCTTATGAAATACTGTGGTTACTTGGTCTAGCAGGTATTTTACACCCATTGGGCTGCATATTTCCAGCACCAAGAACATGTTTAAGTACATCTGTTTTCGTTTCCAAAGGTGTGAAGCCAATTGCCACCCAGAGTTCCATTTCCAACATGCTCTTTATTTCAGAGTAGAACTAAAGAAAGACGTTCCTTTGGCATTTGAAGACCTTTGACAAGAAGAAAAAAAGAAACAAACAATGGGGAAAAAAAAAAAACCAAAACCACAACTTGAAGGAGATTTCCCCACCTGGACTGCATTTCTGGTTGTGCTTTAAACTGGTGCTGCAGGGGCTGTTGGCACGGAGTCTGGAGTGGAGCCGGTACCTGCTGCTGGGGCACCCCGACCTGGCACTGGGATGGGGGCCCCGCTTGCTGAGACACGGGGGGAGGCTGCTGGCACGGATGGTGCTGTGCTTGCTGTTTCTGTGGCTGCTGTTGCTGTTGCTTGTATCGAGATAAACTGAAGAAAAGGCCCAAGATTGCCTTTAGATTCCCATTCCTGATTTCTGCAAGGCAATGTTCAGAAGTCACTTGTCAGCCGCTGCACTCGGCATGTTCTGTTCCTTAAGGATGTGACAGGCTTCCTGCACATCTCATCCACGTACAGCTGACTAGCAGTGAGCATCAGCTACAGATAGAGAACTCATTTCTCCCCTGCAGTGACTGCATCATGTCTCCCATTGCTGCTACAGTCTGTGTTAACGCCAGAGTGCTTAAAATGAGAGTTCCTTCAAATAGATCCTTTAAATGAAATTAACTGGAAACCCAAAACAACCCCCCAACAACAAGTGTATCAACAACAGCACACTGGCAATGATTTCTCAGCCCTAAATTTGCATGAGGAGGAGAAAATACTCAGTTATCACACAGTATTATATCATTTCTGGACTACCAGACTAATTGTTTCTGCTAAGAATATGATGCAAGTTTTGCACTAGAAAAATATCATTACTGGGTGAAATAGCTGCATTAAAACAGATAATTACCAGTTTGACACTGTCACAAGTTGATAAGGAATGGATGCTCAAGGTACCTAAAGAGAGCTCAACAGTGAATGTATAAACATTGCAATTTCTAGAAGCCATCCCATTCTTCTATGCAATATCAGAAGTGAAAATGTAAAAAAAAACAGAAATACAAAGATAAAGACATGTAATGAGAACATGCAGTTAACTGCTGTATCATAATTAAAATGCAATAGGACCCATTCAGTCTTGTAATTAACCTTAACAATATACCATGACTTAATTATTTAGCATGTTTAATTTCCTAAATTAAAAAAGTGAATTACAAAAGCTACATCAAACAGCTGAACTTTTGCATGCACTATATAGACCACTTGAACTAATAGAATTTTCTCTTGCCCTGTGCTTTCAAATCCCTCTACATGGATTAGAGCAAGAGGGGAAGAAAAGGACATGTGGCAAGCCAGGGGCCAAGCACAAAGGTAAGAACCAGAATTGCAATTTCTGTTGCCAGTTCAGGCTGAAAGGTTGCTCTGACTTTATAATGGGCCCTGCTCTATCCTCAGTTCCCTCTTCCAGACACATTTCTACTCATCTTGCTCATCTTTGTGACAAGTTTCTGTTCTTAACACCAAGCCCTTTATCCAGCAAATTCCAGGCTCATGAGTTAAAAATACTGCTCCCCTTTATATACCAGCTTCCAGTTTGGGTCTCCTTGTCTACCTGCTCCTCAATCTTTTTTCCTTTCTTCCCTTCCTCCCACAAATCTAGTTTACTTCCTTAATATTGTTTTTTGGCCCATACCCACCTCCTCACCAACTTGTAAATCCTATCAAAGTGGTCCTGGTCATCATCCACACTCAGGATTTTTCTTTCCTTTCATCTCCTACTTTCTTGATTGCATTTCCTTACCCATTTTTTCCTCCCTACAGCCTGGCCCTTCCACCAGTACTCACTGCTTCCACTCCCTTGTTTAAACGACTATCAATCCCAGGGGCCCTGAGAAGCCATTTTGTGTCTTCCTTTGTTTTCTTAGCCAACTTTAGTCTCTTCCCAGACAGCGAGGTCCCAATGAATCCTGCCTGTTTCCCCTTTTCCCAGTCCAGTCCAGCTCCCATGCAGTGCCATGCCACAAACCCAACCTCTCCATCAGGCAGGTTCCTTCTCTAACCTGCCCCTGTTTAGACACCAAAGAAAGCAAAGCACAGTAAAAAGGATCTCCTTATCTTCAGTAAAGAACTCAAATTGCTCATGGGAACTGTACAGAAAGTAGCACTTCATCACAGGCTGAAGCATAACTAACAGACCCAGAGGCACTGGGAAGCTTCACTGCACAAATATGGGCCAGAAGATAAAAGAAATTACTGAGGGTTTGCATGTTTAAACTCAGCGAAGAAACATACACTTGGAAAGGAGGATTTGATTTCCCTGAGAGGTGATTAGAACAATAACCCACCTAAAACCTGTTGCTTTCTGTGGCTGCCTGTCTTCTGCTTTATTTATCAGAAGAGCAACCTGCTGTTGACTTTCTTCCTAAAGGTGACCAAAAAAAAAACTAATCTAAAGAAAAGCACCTTTGAAGAGTTTCAGAAGAAACAGTCTCATTCCCTCTGGATTTTAAGCAAAATAGTTCAAACAGGGATTTCAGAGGTACTTGTGTTTCTCTTATCTTCAAGATAGACTGAGGTAATTTGCCTGGCAGTTTGCCCTTGCACTTTGTACAGAAAAGAGTATTTCAAAGAGTACTTCAGCCTCACTGCCCATCAGTACAGTCTCAACTGCTTCCTGCTGGAAGTCCCCTCCAGCCCCTCCGTCAGCTTAAATATCCACATTAACCGAGATAAGGACAAGCATGTCACCCATTCATTTTAAATTTGGAGCCAAAAATGACTCATCTTGTATATTTGAAACACTCTAGGCATGTGAGAGGTAACTGGAATCTGGTTTCCAAAGAATCCCCACAAATCTGCCCTCTGGAAATTTCCATCCTGGAATATCTTCGTTTCTGCTTGTTTCCCCTACAGCTGCAACTCCCAGCATGCTATCTACCAATCATCCTTTTCCATATTCACAAATATACACTCGACTCTGTGGAAATTGAAAAAGTAATAAAAAAGATCAGTTCAGGACAGAGAAAAGGTAAAGAAAGAGGAGGTTTGCTGGATAGATTACTAGAGAAACGTCATCTGACTCCTCTAACATTTTTGAATTAAATTTCTGCAAATCATAAACTACTTATTGTGCACAGAACATAGATCAAAGCAAATGAAAAAGAAGAAAGATGGCCTGTCACTGTTACTTAGTAAAGCTTGTTTGCATCTGCTTCTGAAGATTTTGTATCTGACTCTGTAAAAAGCACATGGGATAGAAAAACCAAAACTAGTTTACATGGCCCAGGCTTGTTAGCCAAACTGGCTAGCAGAGTACAAATTAAGAATGACTGCACATGGCTTAGCTCGTATCTATCCTGCCACAAAACAGGGCTGTCATATATACATACTATTCAACCCTAAAGACAGTGAGGGTCTGCTTTTGCTGCTTTGCACCAGCCTCTTATGGCTGACCATGGAGGGATTCTGCATGCAGTCCTCATCAACCCTTCCTAGCTCATCTAAGAGAAGAGGCAAGATGGTCTGCTGAACAGAACAAAATAAAATAAAGCATGAAATTCCATCCATAATGTGTGATGAGAGAGGAGAGAAAGGGCCAAAATAACTATAAGCTGGTCTGAATTTAAGACAAAATGTTGAGCAGTAGATACTCTTCAGCTGATCCAGGCCACATCACAAAACACAGATTCAGCTTCAGTCAGCACATGCTTCCAAAACAGCTCTGGGATGGACTTTGTAGACTCTGAGTAATGTGATCTGAATAGGAACACTACTGGGAACTTCATACAGAAACAAGGAAGGAAAATGCAAGAAGGAATGAATTCCCACCACACATGCTAGATCTACAGGCATTTTTTGATTATTAAAGAGCAATTTTTTGAAGACTGCACATAAATGTACCCAGCTTGACATCATCAAAAACCTGGTAACATGTTAAGTGCCCTACTTGGGTATGCTTAAAATAGCTGTGAGAGATAGATGTGCTGTGGAAACAAAAATTCCACCCTGACAGTGGAAAGGACCTAAAGGATGTAGCATGGAGGAGGTGCAGCACAGCAGACTATAGTCACTGAAATCCACCTACCTGCAGAACTGTGAATGTCATTTCAGAGCCAAAAGTCTAAGCTGAATTGTGGTTGTTTCAAAGTTTAGTAAAACGTTCTCTTTCATCACTTTATGGTGTCATGATTTGTTCAGCTGATGTTTACCCAGCTTATCTGTGACATGGGACAGGTGCAGCTCCTATCTGTGACATCAGTTTGAGTTTCTACTGCACATTTATGTTCTCCACAATCTCCTAAATCTTGACAAGGAGGAGATCCTGTGTGAAGGAGGGCAAGCTTTGCTGGGCAGCTGCAATTAGGGGAGTCTAAAACCCAGCTTTGGTGTCAAAACTAGCTTAGGAGTGTGGGTATAGAGAGACAGCTCAAAGTCATGGACAATAAACAACTGCAGCAAGAAGAGAAAAGAATCTTCCAGCATCCAATAGTTTTCCTAAGTAATGACAAATGGAGATCTTAGGAGTTTAAAATCTTTGAGAAGGGAATGCCTTTTGGCTCCACATTGCAGGATTTTTTTAATACTGGAAGGATATGCCACATGGAGTCCCAAATTATTTCAACATTTAGGAGTCATCCAAATTCCAGTTTTGAATCATTAGCTTCCCTCCACACTAAAACCACACTAGTGGAAAATACATCTTCTGAGGCAACCCAGGAGACACATCAACGTTTATTCCCATTTGGAAGCAATCACAATCTTCTCCTTCCTCCTAGAGGAGGATCTGCCAGTGAAGTAAACAAAGTTATTTGCAGCTGACCTAGCAGGTCTTGGCAACTTGTGCAGAAACACTGGCGTCGTTGGTTACAGCACTCCTAGTTTCAAGTGATTCCACGTTCTCTCTTGTTTAGCTTCCCTCTCAACACATTTAAGGAATGACTAAGGACAGAAATGGAATTTATTGTTGAATTCAAGGCCTTTAACTTCATATTATAAACAAAAAAAATCCTTCCCTCCCCTTCTCTAGCTGTCACTTTTCTTTCACTGTTAGTGGTGGAGCCAGTAAACGTTCTCATTCATATGTTGGCAGCAAACATTACTGGTCTTTTCTTAGCTTCTGTATGATTTTATATGTTAATTCCTACACAATGTAAAAGAAGGAAGTAGACAATCAGGGAAGCCATGGGATAACCTATATCCTGCTGAGTGTGACTTGTGATTGGGCAGGAGAGCAAGGGCCATAAATCATGCCGTCCCTTCCCCACGGGCGACAGCACTGCACTGCCAACCCTGCACACCCAGAAAAATCTTCTCATCAACTCATCTGCTCTTTTCCTTAGATTTTGCATTTTACCAAGACAGGTAAATTATGTGAAATGCATTATACTATCACAATATTTACATATGTCAAAGTCAAAACCGGCTTTCACAACCAACTCAGCTGCATTTTCTTTTTAAACTTTTCCTGGTAAACAAACTTGCTGCATTTTAGCTCATCCTTTTTCTTTTCTACATGTGAATCTTTCCAATTATAACTGAGCTATCAAGGCATACAATGCAGGCAGTACTTACAATGACCATATTAAAGCTTCTCTGTGGAGAAGAATACTTGTTATTTGTGTTCTAAGCCAGGTTAAGGATACATCACAAAAAGATAGCTAATGTTCATCTGCTGTTAGTTGTGGTACATTCAATATGTACCACAATCTGTACTCAGTATCTGCTTCTTTGCTTTCCATGCTTACAAACCACATCAAAACAAGAGAAATTACATTTCACATACACATTTTGAAGTAGATTCTAAGATCTCATAGTCTAGGGTGAAGGAGGACAGAAAGGAATTCTTTAAGCTATTTTCTTAATTGTCAAAATGTAATTTTAAGCAGTAATTTTTAAATAAGGTTTTCTAAATAATAGATTTTATAGTGGTTTTATACAAGTTTTAATTTTCTAAATAAGATTTTTTAAATGTATTGTACATATATATACCCTGTGTAGACAATGGTTTCACCTTAAAGTTCATGGACAGTGGTTATCTGGAGCACATTTTCATCAACACCATTTACATCTACCATAAGGGACGGTGTGCTTCACCTAAGACTTCAGGTCATGATCCTAAGTACATGGTGCTGGGTTTGGATATGTGACTGAAAGAGTGCTGATACGGCACCAGTGTCTGGGCTGTTCTGAACAGTACCTGACTAGTGTCAAGGCTCTCTTTTTCCTACACTTCCTTACCCCTGTGTGCAGAAGCTGGGAGGGGACAGACACAACCCAGCCAGCTGATCCCAGCTGACCAAAGGGACATCCCATGCCATGTGACATCCTTAAAAAAACCTGATGGGGGTGGTGGGAGGGTGTTGGGAGAAATAGCCATTGCTCAGAGACTGGCTGGGCATCTGCCTGCTTGTGGGAGGTGGTGAGTGGCTGCCTTGCATCACTTGTTTTGGTTTTCTCTTCCTCTCCCCTTCATTCACTAAACTCTCTTTATCCTGACCCATCTATGGTCTCACTTTTGCTCTTCCTATCCTCTCTGACGCTTAGCTGCTGGCCAGGATCAGCCCTCCACTCCCCTCTTGCCTCCTGTGTTTAAGCTATAGGATTCCTTCAGAGGAAGAAAGCACTGCTTTAAATATACAGGTAATGAAGTTATTCACACACAAGTAAACGTATGTGTATGATTTGCTGATATAATCTCCTCCTCAAGACTAAGTTTGTAAAGAGACTTAAGTCACTAGATCTAACTTGAAGTCTCACCTGATGCCACACATCCAATTATTTGCTCTGCAAAGCACTGAAGCACGTGTCACGTAATATATTGTTTGCCTTAGCAGCTACTGAAGCCTATTACTTTTCCAGTGTATTTTATTGAAAGTATAAATGAAAGCCAATGCCAAAGATTTCAGAAATCTCTTTGATTTCTTAACAAGCCAGCAGTTAAACAGCTTCTGAGCCAAAAGGTACCACGCATCCTGGCATACATCCTGCACTTGCATAAAGGAATATACTATGCTGAGTCACGTGCAGGTTTGAGAAAAAATTGTTGCTTTTCAAAAGCAGAGTGATTAATTAGAGGTCATAATGTCATTGACTTTTTTGTTAGGGTTCAAAACACTTGGAATTTATTGTTTCTTGTATTTGGAAACAAAACAAAAATTCTTTAAAAAGAAAAAGCAGGATACTTCTTCAGGTTAGAGAATAACTGAAGAATGAGGAAATACATTTCTCTCTCAGAAGGTAAACAACTTTAACAAAAAAATCACTTTAAATATCTGTATAATCTCCACTCTAGTCAATATGACCATTATAGAAATGTCTTATTTTTAACAGAAAGAAACAAAGTGATTGAATTCTAATTTGGTCTCATTGATTGTTTTCACAAGTCAGCTGTGTGGAGATGAGATACGTATTTCACCTGCCTTTCATACAGAGATGGGGAAAGAAGTAGTAAATTTTGAATTATCCCTATCATTCTTCCATTACACTCCACGTGCTGGTTACAACAGTAAGCAATAATTCAGGTTTCTCATTGAAAATGAAATTTCAAACAACTGATCAACTCACCTTCTGCTGACAGCCCCTGTATGTTAATCCCCTTAGCAGCCAGGAAACTCAGGCATGCATCTATGTTTTCAATCTGTTGAAGAACAAGCAAAAAATAAGAGAGGTGAAAAGAAAAGCATTGGAATAATTGTTTACTTTCAACTCCTGCCGCCCTTTATTGCACTCAGTCTTTGTATCACAGAAAAAGTTCCTTTGCTCATTATGCGGAAACCAGAGTATGAAACCTCCTCAGTTGCTAAGGTCCTAAATTGGTCAAGTGTTACATGGGGCAGGACTTTCTGTTATTCATACTTACATGAGGCAAGTTATTTAATACTCTAACCACAAAAAAGGACCACCACGTATCTTCCTGAAGGGTCACAGATGTTATGCCAGGATTTTCAGCCCACAGGACGTCTAACAAACACGAAACCGAAAATAAACGCGGAGGCCGCATTTGCCTGAGGAAGCAGATTGCCACTTGCTCTTCAGTTGACAGCTGGCAAAAGTTTCCAGCCACAAAAGCCGTCAAATCTAAAACCTGTAAGAGGAAATGCCAGCTGGAATCCCAAAACTGGTCACTCAGGACAACCCTCGCGTGTCAGGAATGAGAGGGAAGGCGGCCGGCCTCCCGCCCTGCGGCCACCGCACCACACGCCCCGCTGGAATCAAGTTTTTCTTCTAGTGGCTGGACCAGTGCAGCGTGGGGGATTTTGGGTGAGAATACTGTTGGTAACACACTGATGGTTGAGTCGCTGCTGAGCAGTGTTGAACTGTCTTTACCTCAACCCACACGTTTTACCTTTTTTTTTCCCCCCCAACCCACTGGGATGAGCGAGCAGCTGTCTGGTGCCTAATTGCTGTCTGGGATTATACCAAAACAGCAAAATAAAATGAATTAACATCAGGTAGGGTCTTCCATAGATCAGGTCTGATTGTTCCCGAATACAGCTGCTATACACAGACAGGACTCAAATTCTACCTAAAAAAGTCAACTTCAGAAAGGTCACACAGGTTATTCATTGCTTCCTCCATACCTCAGCATCACAAGAGAGAACTTGCAGTAGCTTCACGTCTAGTTTATACTACTTTAAGTATAGTCCATGCTTCCAAACCCAGATAGAAACCAAAAAATACATTTCCTGTGACATTCAGACCTTAAAGCTTATAGCACGGTGCAGTTCAAAGGTTCATTTATTCACAGTTCAATACGATACGACAATCAGTCTCTACCCATTTCCTCCTCCCATGCTCAAAAACCCTTTCAAGTTTTCAACACGGCTCCTTTATTGAGGTGATTTGGGACATTGTCAGAAAGCCAAAGTTCACCTTTTCAACAATAAACACCACATAAAAGCATCAATCAGTTCCTACTACCTGCACTTAGCAAGCTGCATCTTTCCAAGAATACCTCCAGTCTTCCACAGCTGTAGCTACATGTCTCCTCACCTTAATAAGGAGAATTCCTTAGCTTAGTGAGTGAAGATGAGCAATACCTCATCTCTACTCCAGATCTGCAGTTGTGACAACTCAAAGTAGCTCCTTCAGTCCTGCTTTGCTTCTCTTCCCAAGTCCGTCATCTTACCTCAAATTTTCCTTTAGGACAGAATGACCAATGGAATTAAAATTTCCTTCTGGGTAGCAAGCTCCTCACTACAATATGCTGCCAGCCAATAATTAATATTCACTTATGACATGCCTGATATAAATAGAAATGGGGGCAGTAGGCATCACAGAAAAAGCTCTGATTCATGATGGGCAAGACTTCTAATCACAAAGAGCATGCAAAAGGCATTCTTTGTATTGTGAATGGTTTTGGGCAATCCTGTGTGACTCGCAAGGCTTGCCAAAGTTAATCTGGTCTGCAAGAGCCACATAGAAGGTTGTAGAAGCTTTGTAGTTTATTTTGAAATTCAGCTTTTCAGGGTTTTTTTCAGGTTTATTTATTCAAACTGAAAGTTTCCCATGAAGAAGAAAAAAAATGTAGGGTAATTTCTCCTAAAAATACCCCTGGAAATACTATTTCTGGATCACCTTCTCAGGAGAAGGCCCTAAGTATATTTTAAAAGTTGAAGTGGATAATTTGTGTGTTACTTGAATTCTTTAAATGCCCTAAACTACAATTTGTTAAGCAACAACAAGTTCAACTTTGCAAAATAAATATTAACAGAGCATCCTGCCTATGGAGAATCATTCATTTAGTGTATAGATGGAACTCTTTGCTGGTGTCAATAGACACTTGACTAGATTTTAGCACATATTGCACTGTGATATTATCAATATCTAGTGAAGATGGACCTCTTCCCAAAACATCCCTGAATTCTACATAAAACATTAGTTTTAGAAGACCATAAATGCTTAAGAAAAAGGACTAACACTAGAACCACTCAATGCACTAAGTGCTGGCTCTTGTACACTGTTTTATTTCCTCAAATATAAGCTCAAGTGCTGAAGGGTCTGTGTGTCATGAACTTAACCTCTTGCAGTACAGTTGCCAGCAGTTGTTTCTAAAAAAGACCCATGGGAAGGGAGCTACGGCCACAGCCTGTTCCCAGGCATGGTGTACCCCTCCTCCTGGCTGACCTGCATGCTTCTGTCTCGGGGCCTGAGGGTCACAGCTTCACCTGTTCCCAACAGATTTATTCTAGGGGCTGAAGAAAGCACCAACGCACAAGTGTCCCCCTCCTTCCTTGCACCTGAATCATGGCTCCTACTGAAATTCTGCATAACTGCCTAGGACAAGCACAATAGTACTGTTTAAATACATGAAAATAATCCTATATAAAAACCAAAGGAATAAAATTTTCTTGATATATATTACCTTCATAGAGTAATGAACTACAACAGCCATTACCACACCACTCTAGTGTATACGCAATGGCTGGAAATCAAAGATTTATGACAAGACACAGACAAAGTTTATTTCTCTGGGCTGCATGATGCTTTGTACAAGCTATGAGCTGTTTCAGATAATTGAAAGTGAGGAGCTTAGTACTGTGTTTCCTAGAAAAACAAAGACCTAGGTGCCAAAAGAAATTGCCATACAAACAGCTTGAATTCTTACATCACAAACCCAACGGAACTTTCTCATATTTGTGTTTAATATATAGTTTCAGTCTACTGTTCTTAAGCAGCACAGCAGACAGAGGGGTTTCTGTTGAGAAAGCAAAGCAACAATACACAACTCAGAAACCAGAATTAAACTGTGTAAACATGAGCAAATAGCTTTTCTTATCAACCTAGAGCTTTAAACACGGGTTACCGTGGTTTTGCTGCTGTTTTGGAAGACTACGAAGTTTCCTTCATTGCCAGGGTTCAGAAAAAAAAAATATATTTCCCAGAACAGAGAATAAATTGAATTTTTACTTCCACCTGTCTTCACATCAATGTAACCTTTTATGTTTTCCTTTGTTGGAAAAGGCTCAGATAAACCCCATAATTTATCCCTGACAGACTCCAAAGAAAATTCAGTCCAAGCACAATATTTTGCTCCTGGTACCAAATTCAACACAAACAGAATCTCAGTGAAGTCAGTACAATCCCCTGCACCCACTATGGCCTCATGAAGATGGCAGTTTCAGACACTGCATACACCCCAACACACAGGCATGGAAAGTTAAAGACTATCTATCACCCATGATTGTTCATTTTTCCCTGTTCATGTAGAACGTAGCAAGAAGCTCTGTGTTCACAGAGTATTGTATAAAAGGTATATTTATGTAAGAATTTTACAAAAGTAGTAGGCATAGCAAGAAAGAAATATTCTTCCAGAATTTGATGCAGGTGTAAATTCATAAGTAAAAGATCCAGAGATGCCCAAACAGGCACGGGGAAGGACCCTGGCCCTGACCATCTGCTGGGTCATCTCTTCAGTCCACACAGGAGACAGAACCATAGGTATTCAAAATGTGATAATTCAGTTGAACAGGGAAGTAAATGGGAAAACAGAATCTAAGTCTGGCTTTATAGTTAAGCTCACTTCTTTCAGTTTTTCTATAAAAATTACTTTCTATGTCACTTTACTGCTGCTCTTCATCGAGCCTCACAGTGTTAGACTTGAGCATCATCTCTCTCTCAATCAGTGTATAGTGCAAAGAACTGGAGCACACCATCAGGGACCACAAAGATAACCCCTGGAATCATGGAATGACAAAATGACAAATCAAAGGAATGACACACTGTCATCAGCAATGTCTCCCCAAAGGTACCACATACATCCACCCCATGGACAGAGCAGTACAAACACCTTGTCTCATCTCCCATTCCTGCATGCAGAAGAGTTTTGGAAACCTTTCCCTAATTTAGTGACACTTATCATGCCTTATGGCAGGGAGATGTATGTATTAGCCTTGTCCAAACCAGTCTAGATACATCATGTTATTCTATATGCAGGATGAGAAGGAGGGTGAGAAGATGGCTTGTGGTTGTTTCTAGACTGCAAGCTCTGCAACACAAATCTATGATCTGACCCTGCCTGTCTCACTGATAACAACAGTTATGAAATGGTAAGCACAATAGTCTAACAACAGTCTGGATCTCTGGAAGAAGCCACAGACAGTAAAATGAATCTCATCTAGGAGCAACAGTCATCATGAAGTGTGGAAAAAAGGACATCTAAGTACACATTGCCTGGCAGATCACCTCTGTGGTACATCAGTCTTCTCTACATGACAACACAGGTTCACACATGATCAACAGAAACCCAGGAAGCTTGGAGAAAATGGTTTAAACCTTCTGAAACTCAGGATCTGGCCAAGTGCCTCCACAGGCAGTTGAAGGAGCTAAGCTGGTGTCTGCCACTGGCCAGTCTGGCACAGCTCTGGGTAACATCCTCCCCTTCAGCCAACCTTCAGCTGTAGCTTAGGGACAAAAGAGACCCATTTGTTACTACAGTAACATTAAAACAGATTAAATACCTAAACATACTGACAGCAAGATACAAATTCCCCAAGCAAAACAGGCAGAAGACTGATCAGAAGACGGAGAAGTTCCCTTTACTACTTGGCTCAGAACAACCTCGGAGGAGGATTACTTGAAAATATATGGCTATATTTAACCACTGGGATACATTTCCAAAACCCCTATGCTAGGAAT